TCTCCTTTCTTCTGTCCATCAAGAACTAATCCACGGGATGTCAAAACTGTAAGCGTGCTGTCCTCGCTTCTGCCAGCTTAGAACCACCGACCGGACCAGAGAGGAGGTTCCGAAACAGAGCGGCTGTGTGCGGTCACTGGACCGAGGCTGAACGAACCGAGCCGAACCGCAAAGCTTCCAGAGTGGAGAGTAGTTGTAGCTCCGGTTTAAAACGTTCACGGTTCTGTTCCCCCTCAGAAAACTTGTGCGTGACAACTTTGCACTTAGCTTCAACTCTGTTTCTGATGAAAACAGAAAGTTCTGCCGACATTCTTGCTAACTTGTTAGCGCAGCATGTTGTTGTGATCACGTGAGCTCTGCATGCTGGATCCAAGCGCTGCTGGATAGAAACACTTGGAGTGGAGTCAGTGAACTGCTGGATTGAACTGCTAATATCGGAGCGCTTATATCGGACATTTTTTATGCAGGCCGATAAAATCCGATACTCATTTTTTGGCTGATATCGGACCGATATCCGATATCAGCTGGCAATGTCATATTCCTGACAGAGGTTCTTCCTGGTAATGGCATAGGCAGGATGGACGATCCCTTCCATCTATCCACTTCAGGAGTTCAGGATTTGTCTCAGACATATCTGTGCCCAATTTGTTTGCCCTCTATCATTTTTACAATGTTTCCAGRGGTCATCAAAGGTCAACCAGCCCCCCAACATTACCCAAATCAAACAAAACTGGTGCCAATCAATTGCTACGTTTGTGTTTGTTTGTGCTGCTTTTGTTTTGAAGATAATGAAAGTTTAAAGGTCAAAAAGTCAGAATTTAAAAAATAAAGTAAAACTCATTAAGCAAGCCTGGAAGAATTGATGGTACCCCTGAAAATAATGTGACCAAAGGGACATGGTTAATCAGAGGTGTGTCCACTAGTTAGCATCACAGGTGTCTACAATCTTGTAGTCAGTCAGTGGGGCTGTATATAGGTGACATGGTTTGTACCACACTTAACATGGACCAAAGGAAGTGAAGGAAAGTGTCGTCTCTGGAGATTAGAAAGAAAAATACAGACAAGCATGTTAAAGGTTATAAGATCATCTCCAAGCAGCTTGATGTTCTTGTGACTACAGTTGCACATATTCAGAAATTTAAGATCCATGGGACTGTARCCAWCCTCCCTGGATGTGGCCACAGGAGGAAAATTGATGACTAATCAAAGAGACAAGTAATACAAATGGTAACAAAAAAGACGAGAGAAACTTCTAAAGAGATTAAAGGTGAACTTCAAGCTCAAGGAACTTCAGTGTCAGATCGCACCATTCGTCTTTCTTTGAGCCAAAGTAGACTTCATTGGAGGGTGTCTTGAATCTGTGCCGAGTACAATGAAATCTCAAGACTATCAAGGGATTCTAGAGAGAAATGTGCTGCCCAGTGTCAGAAAGCTTGGTCTCAGCAGGTCATGGGTCTTGCAACAGGATAACAAAACACAGCTAAAAACACCCAAGAATGGCTAAAAGACATTGGACTATTCTGAAGTGGACTTCTATGATCCCTGACCTAAATTGTATTGAGCGTCTTTGGAAGGAGTTGAAACATGCAGTCTGGATAAGACACCCTTCAAACCTGAGACAACTGGAGCAGTTTGCTGATGAGGAGTGAAACAAGATACCTGCTGAGGTACAGAAATCTCATYGACAGTTACAGGACTGCAGCRATTGCCTCAAAAGGTTGTGCAACAAAATATTAAGTTAAGGGTACCTAGTYCTGTCACAATAACAAATTTTGCTGGATGATTAATTGTCTCAGAAATTATTGCGATAAACGATAAAATTGTTTGGTGACCATTTTAAAACCATTATGATAATAGCGTAATAATGCAAGTACATCCTCTCAAAGATCAATAAATTTAAATTTTTAAAGAATGTTTCTAACATTCTCTAGCAAAAAGAAATGCACTTGAATAAAAAAATATAAATTAAACACCACACACACACACACACACACACACACACACACAACTGAAACAGTTAATAAAGAGCAGTATATCTTTAGAGATGAAGCAAACTGCGCTGTCTGTGGGTATGCACCACTTCGGACTTCCCATTTTTGTATGTCGCTTGTTGGTTGAACATTCGGTCATTGTGGACTTTTGGGAAGACTGAGACTGAGACGTTTTCCCCAGCTGGGAAAAAGTCATTGAATGATTATATTTTAGGTGCAAGTTTGTAGTATTGCTACTTTTAGTTGCTGTTTTGTTTCACAACAAATTTGACATAACCGACTCACACAGGTTAARTRGTTCKCCAYGGTCATTGGGTYTGAATCCAAGTGCTCCCRCACTGCAGTGGTAGCATTCGGCTTTGAAACCAATTCCATCTTCATTTCTCAGAATCCCAACAATGTTTCTTTAGTTTGTTATTGCTACAAACTCTCATGCTAAAGAGGTATGAGACCACACACCTGGCAATACCTAACGCGAGAGTTCACTCCTTCTGACGCTAAGAAAACAGGATGGGTGGGGGGGGGGGGGGGTCAATCGAATACCCTGTGCACCGGAGCACAGAGAGGGAGAGTCGGAAGTAAACAAGCAAACAGGCAAATAAAAATTATCGGCATTTTTTTATCGACCTCAAAATAATTTATCTTACCATTAATTGATTTATTGACTTAGTGAAAGGCCACCATCATTTCTGTCCCTGTTTCATGAGGTTTATTTATTTATTTATTGTTTGTTTGTTTGTTTGTTTTTGAAACATGGCTGAAAAACAATGTGACATTCATTTGAATTTTTGTTTACTTTTGTCAGATTCAAGTTATTTCTGTGACCATTGTGAGCATTTCTTTCATTAAACGAGGATTACCAACAATTTTATCCATGCGTGTATTCTTTAATACAAAACTAAGCAAAAGGTGGAATAGTCAAGTTTACAGTAGGGCAGTGCATGAGGCTAGAAAATGGCCTGCATGTAGGCAAATAGGTGAACTTTGGTGCCCTCATTCACATATACAGAAAATGCTTCTGGCCTCCAGAAGAAAAAAAAATCAATACCTTTAAAAATAAAAGCAGCACAAATGAAATTATTTGCTGCACAAATGTAGCACAAACTTTTGACACCAGTTTTTTTTTTAATTCTGTCAATGTGGTGGGGCTGGCTGACTTCACTCAGGTAAGTTATCCTTCATCTCTGACACTTTTTCCAAAARAACCCTTAGAAGGATCAGTCGAAGGTTCTAAACAGGACAGACCATCTGGTATTAAAGAGTTTTAACTGCTTTGTCAAATCTATRAGGCAGGATAACCTGACTGTTTTTATGGGTGCTCAGCCCTGCAGTGCTTTCAGATGTTTTTAACGTCACATGGAGCTAGCTGAGTTAGGCTTGTGGTGTTGTTTTTTTTAGGTCCCATGAAGAGGAGTCGAGGTGGTGTTGATGTGGACTTTGAAACACCTGGTTCAATCCTGGTGAACACCAATATCAGAGCTCTCATCAATGTGAGGACATTCTCAGCTTTCCCACCACATTCTCAGCAACAACTGCTTCAGCTACTGCCAGAGGTGGACAGACAGGTATGTGGTTTTATAGATTGGTGTACATTTTGTAGTTTGAGGGAGAGAGATGGGCAGATGTTTTTATTGTTTGAGGGAGACAGACAGGTGGACATTTTTGTTTGAGGAGAACAGATTGGGAGCGGGGTTTATGTCTCTTGAAGGGGAGAGACAAGTGAACATTTTATTTATTGAGGATGACGGACAAAAGAAAAAGACAGAAAAATAGCTCATTAGTTCTACTTTTTGATATAAGAAACAGATAATGACCAGTCAGTTTTGATTTTGACTGTGAATTTGTTCATTTGTGTTTACATTTGAATACACACTTGCAAATACCCAAAGTTACGTACAAAATGTTTTTTCGGGTTACAAATCATGTTTTACACGCACACAAACTGTATTACACACACACAAACTTTATTAAACACACACAGACTTTATTACACACACACAAACTTTATTAAACACACACAGACTTTATTACACACACACAAACTTTATTAAACACACACAGACTTTATTATGCACACACAGACTTTATTAAACACACACAGACTTTATTATGCACACACAG